ACTACACATCCTACAAAAATACCAACTAATAAAACATGGTAGAATAGTGCAGCAGAAAGTAAATCTAGCTTAAACATGCTTGAAAACACATTATACAGGAATTTTAAATAGTATAATAGATACAAATTGAAGATTAAATCATAACACATTTTAAACTTTATAAAGGAATTGTTGGATGCAAGACCTCAAACATGTGCAACAATGAAGTACAAAAATATGCGGTCGGAAAATATTATTTTTACAATTTACTACACATCCTACAAAAATACTAACTAATAAAACATAGTAGAATAGTGCAGTAGAAAGTAAATCTAGCTTAAACATGCTTGAAAACACATTACACAGGAATTTTAAATAGTAGAATAGATACAAATTGAAGATTAAATAATAACACATTTTAAACTTTATAAAGGAATTGTTGGATGCAAGACATTTGTTTTGAGAAAGAGTTTCAGATAAGTATTGTTTGTTTATTATTGTTGTATTAACTTTATTTTATATATGAAATTTGTGTTTTGTTGTATTTTTCTCTTGAAGTCTGAATAGTTTCCTTTATCTTTCTTCCTACTATGAGATATGGTGAAATGAAGAGATAATTTGGATGTGTCAATATTAAAATATAAAATAAATTGTGATGGTTTTTAAACTCATTTCTTAATTTACTTTTCGATATGGCCAATTGAATTGTTAAAATATGTTGTGAAACATATGATCCAGGAAATGAAGTATGAGTTCTACAACATAGTGAGAATCACATTTAAGTCCATGAAGGAGTATTTTGTTCATGGTATTAAATGCAAATAAATAGGTAAATATACATTGTTGGGTGTAGAATTAGAGATTTTTAGGGTAATAAGCTAAAATCCCCAATTCAATCTTAGTGTTTAAGAACAAAAGCGAGATTTAGCCTTTAAGGGAAGGGAAGTGGGAGCTCTGAAGTAGGAGCCAATATCCTCCTAGCCTAACCATGGATTTAGGGACTAAACCTAAGATTATCCAATGATTTTTTATACACTAAATCAGGGTAGAGGATTAAATTTGCTCTTATTTGGTACAATACAAATTTAAACCAATTATTTCATCTCATTTCGCAAAAAACTCATTCTAGTGGAAAAAATGTTTTTTCATATTAGAAAACTTCATCACATAAACATAGTTTAGTAGTTATTGTTTTAAACTTTGCATTTAAATTTTATCAATAGTTAGTAATTTAGTTCAGATAATGTATCACCTATTTGAGATTAGTGGTAATAATTTTGTTTGATTTATGTGAATTTCTTAGTTAATTTATCATTTCAAACCTTTTTTGTGGGATCAATATTTGGGACTTAAATAGAAAGTTTTATATTACTTGATAACGATACATATACTTACACTAATTGCAAAGAATTCCAACATTAAGTGCTTATCGTTATTATTCATAAAATACTGCATCAAGATTTTGGCATCGTTATAAAGAAGAGTCAACTTTATAAATTTTACACAACTATATTTTCGGGATTAGTTTTCCAAGTCTAAACTCTACATGATTCAAGGTAATCCCAAGCTCCAATTAAGAATTAAGTCGTAACAAACTCGTCAATCTGCTACTACCATAAATCATATAAAGATCCAGTCATGACGAATGAATTACCTCACAACATTAATCCATTCCACTCTTACACTTCAAACACGCATCAAAGTCCAACATCTCACTATTATCCAATCCAACATAACAACAATCACTCTACACAGATAACGAAAATAACAATGGGTTGCCTCCCACAAAGCGTTTGGTCTAACATCGATGACCCGATGTATCCTTTGTTTACTCTGGTTGCCCCAACATCAGAATCTCATTCATTTTATTTGTATACCATGTAATATGTCATTCAGTGATTTTGAATAACTCTTTCTTAGGAGATCATTTACTGATTTCATCATTCAATTCAGGTTATTCTTGTGATTAAGTCAAATCTAAAGTTATAAAGGCTAGTGGTGTAGATGAATTCCATAAATAAGTAGGCTTTAAAATTGTATGGGGTGCATTGATCTTAAGTTCATGAGATTTATCAACAGATGAAATTAAAATTTTACTTTTTTTTGTAACGTCCATCATTTCACACCTCTCCTAAACATATATACAGTCTTCTTTAAACAATGTTTTCAACTCATCATAAAAGTCCATTTCGATCTCATCTGTTAACTTACTCTCAAAACTTTCTTGAAAATGGTCTTTACTTAGATAATTAAATTCATTGATAAAAAAACAATCATTATCTTTTCTCTCAGCTTGATAATTTATTGTCTTTAAAACATCAAAAGTGGCTTCATAGTCATTAATATTCATAGTCAACTCTCTTTTTTGTGCAGCTATCATAGCTTGTTCAGTAATAAGAAAAGGTATCCCTAAAATAATTGGATTTTCTTTATTTTCCTTCATATATAATACAATAAAGTTCATAAAAAAGATAAATTCCACTTTAACAAACACATCTTCTATAACCCCTTTTGGATAAATGATAGATCGATCAATTAACTGAAGGGTTATAGTAGTGGGAGAAATTTCGACTAAAGCTAACCTTTTAAATATTGATAGAGGCATCACATTAATGTTCGATCCTATCACATTAATGTGAGGCATCACATTAATGTTCGATCCTAAATCGCATAAAGCTTTTCCACATAATATTTCTCTAAATACACAAGAAATTGTTAAACTAGAAGGATCTTTAAATTTGTAAGGAAGTTTTTTTCTGAAATATAACGTTACACTCCTCAATTAGTGTAATTGTCTCGTAATCCCTAAACTTTCATTTCTTGTTTAATATCTTTTTCATAAACTTTGCATAACTTGGCATCAATTCCAAATCTTTAGTGAAAGAAATATTTATCGTTAACTTTTTTAAGTACTTCCATGAACTTTGAAAATTATTTATCTAACTCATGTCTCATGTTGTCTAAGTCTTTAATCTAACTCATGTTGTCTAAGTCTTTAAGGAAATGAAGGTGATGGTTTTTCTAAATTTATTTTAGTTAGAGATATTAATTTTTCCATATTATTAGAAACATGTTCTTCAATTCTTTTAGTTTTCTTTGTTTCTCTCACAACTTCTTTCTCTTTTCTAACCACATCCTCTATCTCTCTTCCACTTCTTAATTGGACAACTTCTACTTGTTCATTATTATTCTCTTTTAGGTTGATCTCAGTATTGCTAGGAAGTGTTCATTGAGGTCCATTGCTAAGTGAATTAATAAATTGTCCTGGTTGATTCTCTATGTTTCTAATCATAGCATTTTGACCTTGCAACTGGTTTTCCATTTGCAATATCACTTCATCTATAGACATCTTCTTATCCTCAAATAATGTATCATTGTTATAGTCCAGTGGATATGAAGCTCTATAGTTTGCGTCCCCCTAATTATTCCAACTTCCATTATGATTTGCATGATTATTTTTCCATTGTTGGTTTCCACTCCAAGTAGTATGATACCAGATAAAATTAGGATGGTTCTTCCAACCTGGGCTGTAAAAGTTAAAATACAGGTTGTTTATGATATTTAAATTCTCATACGATAAGTTAGAATCAATCATATGCCCTAATGAATTTTCCTCACTTATTGGAGTAAATTGAGAATGATTCATTCCAAATTGGTTCAACTTCCTTGATATTGCAGCAACCAGAGATGCAAGAATTGCAATCGCATCTGTATCATGAACATTGACTACCTTTTTAGGATTTATCATTGCAGAGAGCCATTGAAATTCATTTGTAGCAATTTCTTTGATTAATGCATACACTTCATCAAATAATTTTGACATTAATGAACCACCGACAACAACATCAATAATGGACCTATTGGATCCCTCTAACCCATTGTAAAAAGTTTGAATGATTAATCAATCTGGCAGAGAATGGTGTGCACACTTACGTAAGAGTTCCTGAAATATTTTTGTAAAAAGTTTGAATGATTAATCAATCAGGCAGAGAATGGTGTGCACACTTACTTAAGAGTTCCTGAAATATTTCTTAGGCTTCGTATATTGATTCCCCTTCATACTGACATAATGAAATAATATCATTTATAAGTTTAGTAGTCCTTGAAAGTTCAAAATACTTAGCTAGGAACTTCTGATTTAACTCATTCCAATTTTTAATAGAGTTAGGTGTAAATGAGTATAACCATATTTTAGCCTTATCCCTTAGTGAGAAAGGAAAAAATCATAGTCTCACAACATTGTCTGACAAGCCGTTATAACGAAATGTAGCACAAAGTTATAGAAAACTTGATAAGTGTAAATAGGGATCCTCCAAAGGAGTTGCCCCAAACTAGTTGTTCTGCACCAGTTGGATAATCGTTGGATTTATTTTAAACAAGTCAGGAGGTTCTACGACAGGGGCTTGTATACTTGAGTGAATTTCATATATCGTAGGATTTACATAATTCCTCAATGATTTATGATGATTTTCAAAGTTATTATTTTGAATATTTTTCATTTCCATTTCTAGTTTTTCAAGTCCTTTATGTTTTTTGATTTTTTTGTTTTTTTCTAACACGGGAACATAAGACACAAGTCCTGCAGATCCTTTATTCCGCATACGCAACACAACAAATAATACATTAACAATTAAACAAATAAAACAAAAAAATATATTTAAGACTATAAAATATTTTCACAAACACTATGTTTTTCATAAAAAACACCTTGTTTTTGACACAAATAGTTTTTTCACAACACTTTAAAAAAAAAAAACAAACACTTTTTACAAAAAAATAGTTTTTACGACAATATAATATTCGAAGTCTGTCTAATTGCTTCAACTAAAATTTTCCTAAAAGTCAAGATCAACCATTTTTCATACGTAAAAGATTTCATCAGTGTTATGTAAATTTAAAAGTTTAGGCGTTACATGTATAGATACATAAATATTAGATGCACTTTCCAAATACCGAATATTTATATTTTATTATTATTATTTTTTATATTCCGAATATTTCTATTCAATGCTGCAAAAGCCCGCGTTAGGGTTTTAACTACGAAACCGCTTCCAAGGAGGCCACTTCTCTTCTCGTCACCGAACCTTGATTCTTGTGTAAGCGTCCCGCTGATCTTTCATGGAGGTCTGATTTCAGAAGCACTGAAAGAGGAGAGAGAAGTGGAAGGAGAGGTCCGCCGTTGCAATTAGAGAAATCACCTGTGAATCTGAAGACATGCCCTCACCACGCGCGCTCTTCTCCACCATTGATTCGGTCCTTTCCGGTCCCTATTCCCAGTCACCCTATCAACGGATACAGCTAGTGCATTCTATTCGATCTTCACTCCCTCTTTTCCAGTCACTTCTATGCTATCCGGTCTCATCTCTAGCCATCTTTCATTCCGATTTTATACTTGAACAAGTATTGTCATAGTTGACTGTGCTACTTTTGCAGGGTCCAAAGGCATCTGATAGATTTCAGCTGCAGTCCAAGGAAGTTAGACTGCCTGACTCTCCGATTATACCTCTCGATGACACGGATGTTGATATTGTAAACCTTTTTATCCTACTATTTGTTTCGAATGGCGGGAGTGGGATTGAGCACAGTTATTGCTGTACTGAACTTTCAATGAGCAGTAATAAATACTACTTTGCATTATCTTAGGGGCTGTTTGGTATGCTATTTTAGGCAGATTTAAGGAGATTTAGCTTTAATCCTGTCAAACAGAGTTTTGGAGAGTTTAAACCTACTATTTTGATAAATCCCATTTTAGCAAATTTTAAACTTTGAAACAGATAATAAAACATTTTATATCAATTTAGGAAGATTTCGTAGTTTTCATGCCAACCAATTTTGAGGTTTTATTCCTCTCAAGATTTAAATCTGAATTTACAGTTTGCTAATTCTTATTTCTTTTAAATACTGATTGTAGCCAAATAGCCCGTTAATGTGCTTCCATGTTCTAATAAACATTATATTCCTGATATTGCATGTGACATAGGTTAGAACTGCACGTATAATGTAGTAGGCTTCGATGGTGATGGATTGCTTCTGTGTTTCCATATATCTTTTTCAAATGTAATTTTAATTTTTTTGCGGAAAACACATGAATACTTTCCATGGGCACGCAGACCCTCCAAAGCTCAGTTACCATGAAAAGCACTCCCATTTAGTTCTTAGTGCATCACTGGGATACAACAACACAACAACAACAACAACAAAGCCTTAATCCCACTACGTGGGGTCGGCTACATGAACCCTTTTTCTCCATTGCGTCCTATTTAGTGTCATATTTTCATTTAGTTCTAGTAAATTAAGATCATTTTTAATACAATAAGCCCAATTCTTCCCAGGTCTACCTCTGCCTTTCTTAACACAAGTCGAATTTAAAACATCTACTCTCCTAATCGGATCATCTAATGGTCGACGTTTAATATGACCAAACCATCTAAGAAGACTTTCTCTAATTTTGTCTGTCACAGGAGCTATACCAACCCTATCACGAATATATTCATTCCGCATTTTGTCTCTAAGTGTAAAGCCACTCATCCACCTAATCATTCTCATCTCCGCAACACTTAACTTATTATTATGCTTCTCTTTTAAAGGCCAAC